TGCCCCCCCCTCCCCACCTCCCAGCGCCCACTCCAGGCCAATGAAGCCATGCCCTGGGGACAGACCGGCAGTCAGGCCCCAAAACTAGTGGTTTTATATAAAGAAATCTTGTTGGCCTCTTTTTTGGTGCTCTTTTCTGAGTCTTGGCCTTTTCATTTGTAAAACGACGAGTTAATAACGGCCATCTCAAAAGTTGGTTGCTTTTAGACTTAAAATAGAAAATATACTTGAAAATGCTTTGCGAGCTGAAGATGTTATGCAAATAAAAGTTCTATTACACAATCCTCAAGAATAACACCACACACATCTAGTCCACCAAATCAAGCTAAACCATTTGTGTGGGTGAGCAATGCTTTGGCCATTCACACGTTGTTCCGTGTTTATTAGGAACCCCTTTGCATGCTGGTCTGCCCAGTGGTGAGAGGTAGAATCAATGAGCTGATGGAGGCATTACATGGGCACTTGTTTCTCTGACCTACAGTGCTCACGGGGTGCTTTACAAAGGCTGAGAATGGGGAGAGGAAGACTGACACCTACGGATTCTAATGTCACTCTCAGATGACGTGGTTGAATAGTATAATCTGTTTTCTCTTCTGGTGAAACGTCCAAGAATCACCAGCAGCCTGAGGCCTGGGTAGCTGCCTTGGGACTACTTGGGCTGTGACTGGCTGCTGCATGTGAGGAACTGTGAAGCTGGAGCCCTCCTTCAGGCCACTGACTTCTCAGGGGACCAATGAGAGAGGAAATGTTGGTTGTAAAATCCATTCTGCAGGTTTGGCTGGCTTCTCAGGGGGCAGGGCAGGCAGTCACAGCAAAAATCCAAGTTCCATTGAGAAAGGACCTGCAGGCCTGAAGAGAATACTTCCCCCCACTCCCCCGATAAACCACTTGTCACCTCTCTGTGAGGCTTCTGTGCCCAGCACCCACACCACCCTCTCTACTCCCAGAAGGGCTACAGCTGGGGTTCCCCCACAAGCAGAGGAGGAAAAGCAGACCTTTCATTGTGAATGGAAGTACTCAGCTCTTAAGAAGACTTACGTAAAAGTGCATCATGCCCTAGGTCAAGACCCGCTGGGGAGGAGTGTTAATGTCTGTGACTGCCAGTAAGTGGGGAAACTGGTTCTGCACACTATGAGCCAAGTAGGAAAAGCAGTGACCAAGTTGGTTAATGATAGAAAGTTATTTTTATGTGAAGGAGTATTAGAAGTGCAAGAACATCTGGGAAAAATAAAAAAGACAAAGATACCTGTTCAACACAGAGTCACACGCATATATGCACCATCTCCAGAGATCAGCTTTATCTCTGGGTAGAGTGGCATTTGCTGGGAGCCTGGTCTGCTAGTGTCTGCTGTGTGGTTAGCTCACCTCCCTTCTGTTAGGATTTTCCTGCCCTGTACATAATAATCGCACAAGGTACAAAACTGAGGTAATTGGCTTCATTAAGCATTTTGTTTTCTTTTCAGGGTTGAATGTAGGCAGAGCAAAAGGAGGGGAGGTGGCGGGTCGGGGGCTTGCTGGGCAGCTTGTGTCCCTATGTTCTGACAGACGCCTGGGGTAACAGTGTGCTGCCATGTAAGTGTGCCCAGCTGGGAGCTGCTGGCCACCAGAACGCCCCCCGGCATCCTTGGGGACATGTCTGGTGCCAGAAGCGGTGATCTGCCTGGCACTTTGAGTGTGAGAGGAGATGCTACCGTTGATATTCTCTGTGACTCTCAGGCATGTTACGGAACTGAAAACCAAGTTTCCGAGCAGTGCATGGGGGTGGCTTACACACGCCCACAAAATTATTTCTTCTGGGACCACCCACTTGGTAAGGACTAGGACTTAGTAAGATGGTTTTCTCGGTACGTGTTGACTCCTACGATTCCTTAGCTGCTCACTTTCTATGAGGCCCAGGCCTCTCCTCTGCTCCCAAGCAGGGAAGGAAGGAATATTTACTGCATGTATTCCAGCTGGCTTCATCACCTCAGTGGTTTATAGAAACTCATGATGTCATTTGATATGAACCGTGGAGAAAAAATGGTACCAGACACTGGCTTTTTGTTTTTATGAATGAGGAAGAGTTGTTTATGAACAACATGCATATTTCTCTCATTATTCCACAGTTTAATGACAATCATGGAAAACAGAGTCATTCAAAACCCTGAAGGACTACAAAGACGTGGAGTCTTATGACGCATGGCTTTGGTACAATAATGCCTAGCTAGAAAAGTAGTTCCTGGAAATGTCTCCAGCTGAGTGGCATGGGTGGGGGTGGCACTGAGAGCATTACCAGATCAGCTGATGCCCCATAGCAGGCAGTGTCCCTCAGCCCTGGCCAGATTGTGAGTTTAGGCAAGCACAGGATATGCTGAATCCTAGCTCAGGCTGTCCTGGGCATCCAGGTGGATGCTCACTGGATCTGGTAGTGGTGGCTCTGAAAAAGTGCTCTTTCATTATCTAGATTAATTTCGTAAAACTACAAAATAATAAGTGTCCTAAAAAGAGCTCTTTGTAATGAAACGTAAGTTAGGTGCGCTAGGTTCTCCTGCCTTATCAAAATGCTATCCTTTCTTTTTTTCTTTGAAGGAAAAATTGATTATATGTGTGTATATATCTCTGTGTTTGTATGTGTATGAGAGAGAGAGAGACAGAGAGAGAGACAGAAAGAAAGACAGAGAGAGACATAGAGGGAGGACATGATGTATAAACGACCAACATTTGAGAATATGACTGGCTGGGTTTTCAGCTACTAAGAACATGATGGGCACTTCTTCTGCTTCTTTGGCTGGTTTCAGTGACAGAACTTCCTCCCCCGAAGTGCCCAGTATCCACTCCACTGTAGAGATCCTTTCCTCATGGGCAGCAAGTGTCCCAACATGTGAGGAACACCAGTCTGTCTCCCTAATAGGCATTGAGTACAATGGTGGTTCTGTGTTCAAAGAAGTGGGAAAAATGCCAAGCTAACAAAGTGTATACAAAGATCTTTGTTGCGATACTCCTGGAACTCTGAGTGGGTAATGGGCACTAAGACCCTTGGTGGGAGCACATTCGGACTTATCTAGTCAGGGAAACTCCTGCTTGCCCAGCACGATTCTGCTGTCTAGACTCACATTTGCTGCAACACACTTGTGAGATGGTTTTCAAGCTTCTCTTTGGGTAGATGGCAGAGAAAGGGAGGAGGACTAGTGTGAGGAGTCTGAGGGCACTTTACCTCTGCAGAATTCGCACCTGAGAAAATGCCATGATTTAGGGGACTTGCTGTCTCTGAAGCAAGGGTGAATTTCCATCCTGAGGCCACAAGCCAGCATCCAGGAGAAGGAAGCAATTGCTGCCTAAAGCGGGAGACACCTGCATTATGTATCTCAAACTAAAAAAGAATTTGAAAAATCAAAATCTCGTTCTGGCTCTTTCAGAATGCTTTCTTCTTTCCCTGAAAAGAGAATGTGTTTATGGACCAGTTCTGAAATCTCCTCCTAACCTTGAAAAGACAAGCCCAGGTCTTAAAATCTGTACCTGAGCTCACTGTATGCTAAAGCCACCTCAGGTCACCGCTTCCAATGATTACACGCTGATGCGTACATATCAGTGATTTCTGCCCCTCTCCAGTGTTGAAGGAATCTGAAGTCAAATGTCAGCTTCTCTCCCGAACCATCACAGGGAGCTATCTGCTGGCCCACAGAATCCCCACCAGCAAGGAAGTTCATCACCGTGGCCTTGGGGCCCAAACCATGGCTCCCAATGACATTGTGATAATATGGCTCCAGGCCTATTTGGCCTTGTATGTGCTAGTATAGGCAGTTGGTAACCCTCAGCTGTGATTATACAGATCGAGGCTGAGTTTCTATGACTTGCCCAAGGTCAGTGCTAGAGATCCACCTCTCTGTATTGTACTCAATTTCACCCTCGCTCTCTCACAGCTTCTAGAGCTATGGGCCAAAGGGCTGTCCAGCAGTCTGTGCCATGCCCATCTTGGGGCTGTCCTGGTCTCAGAGCTCACCATGGGAGCATAAGGCTAGCTAACCTGGGTCTCCTCCAAAACTCTGCCAGCCAGGACCAGGGGGACCTCTGGTGGGGTGTGGGGGAGATGATGACAGGAGTGTCTCTAATGCTTGATCCCAGGCCCAGAGTTAGAGGAAGAGATGAGTACAGCCACCAGCATGTGTCACTGGGGCAGGATGACTGCCCCACACTGGAATTTAAGTGCTCATTTGGAATAAAGTTCAATGTGGGGTGTGTGTGTGTGTGTGTGTGTGTATGTGTGTACTGTATGTGGCATGTGTATACATACGTGTGGTGTGTTGATGTATGTATTTAAGGGGTATGCATATTTATGCGGTATGTGTGAGAAGTGTACATATGTGTGTGATGCGAGTGCACATGTGTGTGCTGTACATGGTATGTGTGCATGTACATATGTGTGTATGTACAGGGTATGCATATTTATGTGGTGTGTGTGAGGGGTATATGTATGTATATATGTGGTGTGCATGCACATGTATGTGTGTGTGTAATCTTCCTTAAAAGAGGTGATGGGAACTCTGCAATTTCTCCCCAGACTCCCCCCAGAGCTCTGTACACTATCTTTGCAGAGAAAAGGAAAGCTCACAACCCTGCTTTGGCCATTCTGGCATTCTCGGGTCCGTCAGTCCACTCTCCATTAAGGTATGACGTGCATGGGCTGTGAGGCTCTTGCTGGGCAGATCTCCTGCCCCTGAACAGAGGATCATGCTAGGCCTGGGCCCTCCTGGACTGGCCTTTCTCTTCTGTGGATGGCAGAAGCTCACAGACCTGATCCAAGGGGACTGCATACATTTATCCTTTTAGGACATAGCTTGGGAACTTAACATTTAAAAACAAAAAACCCCATGCATTTGACAATGCTGCTTAACACTGTTTATTTGACGGTGTGACCTATCATATTCTAACAATGTCCATGAAAATTATCAAAAAGCTAATTTTAGATTTTTATTTAAAATCACAGTTAATAAAAAGTCCAGTGACAAAAGGTAGCTCTTCTGAAATGGATGGAGGATACTGGTTAACCAGTCAAGTGTGTTCTTGGGAGGCTGGGGGGTCTGAAAATCTGGCGGTTGGCCCTGCATGTGAAAATCCAGATGGAGCTGCAGTCCTTGGGCTGGTATAAATGTGAGGTCACCACCCAACAAATCAAAGCAAGGCTGGTGACAGCAAGCGTGGGGAAAGGACATGCACAAGTGAAAACACATGTGATTATTTTAACCACAGAATGGATTACATGTTTGTTACGCAAAGCTTCGATCCTGCTCAGGGTCAAGGTGTTTATGGCCTCAGCAGTCGATTGGTGCTGGCCTGGCCAGGGCAGTCTGTGTTCCTGCAACAAGGACCAGAAGGTGAAGGCACATGGAGTGAGCCCAGACCCATGTAAAGACACGGCTAGAATCGTGAGAAGGGCAACATGTATGTGAAATCTAGTACAGGCAGGATACATTGTACAAGTGCTTACCTTCCAAATTTAGCTCATTCACATTATAAATACTACTTCGATGAAGTTGGCTTTCCCTCTGTGCCTTCTTCTGTAGTCACAGGACACAGGACACAATTGTCACTAGAGAGGACTTGCACACACTGCCACAGTGGGAATTCTACAGACAGGAACTCCCCACACCACCAGGAGAGGCACAGGAGACGTGGAAGACAGGAGCATCTGCCACTATAGGGCTGGGTTTCTCTCCAGTCAAATTCCAGCTTTTCTTTATCCTTAGACTCTTGGGAGAGTTGGGGAGCTGCCAGAGAGTGTGGGAACTCTCCCCAGAAAGAGGACAAAGACCTCTACACAGTTATTGCACATGTGCAACCTGAGTGCTGTGAGCATGTGGCCTTTTCTAAAAACACACTCTGGAGGTAGAAGGAGCTAGCAGTATGGCTTCTTTCTAAGATGTCATCACTGCTGCATCAAACCCTTCCTTTTATGATTCTAAGTCTACATGTGGCCTGACCATAGAGATTTTGTCTTTAATCTTTTTAATTTTGGAGACTCTAAATCATGTGCATTGCCACTGTTTTGAGTATCTGATCAGCACCCAGGGATCCCCTAACAAAATGATTAAACCACCAGGTAGCATGATTTTAACAGGCCTGGATGGTTTCTAAAAATTTCTTAACATAAGTTTTATAAGTGACTCGTCTTCTTCTGGCTAAGGGTGCCAACTTGCTGCTTTTCTCCACGCAGGCTCTGTGAAGAGTAGGGCCTGCTTGCCCACACCGGGTTGGATACACACTTTAAAATGTCTCAGGTGTAACTGAAGATGAGATGATCTGAGTTTATGTTTCTTGACTGATCTAAGAATGATGGCTAATTATCTCTAATTTTCAAGTGCTACCACAAACTGATATCAATGGGCTAATGATTTGTGTAAGATCAAACATTATTCAAGGACTAACTAAAACTAGGGGACTAGAAAAGAATTCTTGGGTTTTGTACCTTCAACCCAAAGCCACACTCAATAAAGCCCACTAGTTGAGGGGATAAAGGTCTGTGACTTTATTATGAATTAATACTTTAGAAACTCATCTTTAGATGCCGTTGGCCTCCACTATAAGTACAGAAAAAGACAAGAATTCTGTCTGCACCCTCTCTTCAAGGGAGAGGAAGCATGGACCACACTAAGTAGATGACAATCCACAGCATCCTGTCTACCCTTAATCACACTCGAGATGATGGACATTTTCTCCCCTACGTGTTCTCCACAAAGAGCTTTATTTACTAGTCTCCATCCAAGTTCAGTCTTCCTAGACTCTTTGGGAGAGAGGCTTTCAGGGGGTCAGTAGCCAAGTCAATTCCTTCCAACAGGCCCCATACTTCACGCAGACACCAGTTTTCTTTCTCAGAACACATAGAGCAAAAGCAATATCTAGACTTTTTTTCCTCTTTAACTGGCTACACTTTGGAAACTGCATTGATTGAGCTTGATTTAATTTTTTTTAAGCCTCAAAACACTTTTATTGCCAGGAAAGGTTTTTTTTCAGAGGCAGGGCTTAGTCTTTTGGCCTATCAGAGACAGATTTCTTTCTTCTCTCCCTTCCTGGCCTCCAGTGCAGGCGTCACAGGTGTCACTGCATCCTCTGGATGCTGGCAATGCAACACAGGTAAGCGCTCAATACCACATGGCGGTGTCTCCAGGCTGCTAGGGGTTCAGATGCAACCCAAGGCCCAGAGAACTGGAAAGACAGCAAGGAAATCTGGAAAAAGACCCTGAAAATAACTTGCCATGAAAATCATACAGACAAGATACACAAAGAAGTCCACAAGCCCTTTGACCCCGTTGTCCGTCTTCTTCCCATGGCTCCTCTGGGATGGGTTTGCTTTGTTGAGGGTTTGTTCTGGGACAGGTGTTGGGGAACCACAGTCACGGCACATCCATCTGAGGTTGGCTCTCTCAATGGGCAGAGGGAGGTGGAGACTCAAAATCAAAGTGTTGGAACATGCTGGCTTGAGATGGCCCATCTGCTTGAAGACAGCCAGGGACGGGTGCAGGAGCCTTAGTTGACCACGTCGTAATAGTAATTGCGCAGCCGCAGTTCCACTGCTGCGAACCCGGGCCTGTTCTCCACACTGAAAAGGGAAGAGATGCATTATTGTTTGTCATTGCAGTGGTGAAAAAGTATGATCCAGCTGGGGTCTTCGCAGGCCTCGTGAGAAGGGCTGTGCCCCTTGGTGGCTTCCTCCAGAGCCAGTGGCTCACAAAGCATCCCTTCTCTCCCGCACAGGGTGACCAGAGCTTGTGGGGAATATAGTGTCAGGCCACCCTAGACCTGCAGAACCCAATCTGCATTCAGTAAGACCCCTTAGTGACTCATGTCCACCTTAAAGATGAAGAAGTGTTGCACTCGAAGTCAGCATCTTTTAACCCAGACTGTCTCTTTGTAATCTAGCAAAACACATGTTTCTGAAAAACTTAGTTGGTCAGTATGCTGCAGACATAGCTTTAAAGTGTGACTCAGAACTTTAAGAAAAAAAAATAGACACAATTTAAACCTTCCTTCCCACACCCCAATCAGATGGCCTTGGATTTCTGAAAATGTGCTGTTGATATGGGTTCTTTTAAAACTCAAAATTTGTTATAGCAGAAGCAAAGATGCAGGCATGGTTTATTATACATCTTAACACAGCAAGGCTTTCCTTTTCTGTCACTTGTCAGGTGACGTAATGATATAAGTAAACTACAGATAAAAGGTTTTAACAATTTGCAATCTCTAAACAAAGTTTTATAGACTTCTCTGTTTTTTCTAACACAGTCGCACTGAATGGAACATGCTGAAAGCAAGTATTTCTTAAAAATCTAAGACTCTATCCTCACTTGGAAGTTACTTTTCTTATTTTTCCAAGATTTTTGGCTATATTGCAAGTGAGTAAATTTGCCCAAATTTGAGGTTTAATTGTGAACTGCCCATATTTACCTTTTGACCTACAACTATAATTTTATATGGTTCAGTGTACACCCAGAACACCCAAGAAGCATGCACGAAACCCAAGAATCACTCACCATTATAAGGGCAGAGTGGTTTCTACAGAACCAAAATGGGGTGTTTTGTCAAATGGCACCAAATACAGAAGTCCTCAATGTTGTAAAAAGGTTCTGCGACTTTAAGCGAAACCACATGTAACGAAACCAACTTGACCAAGGCTAACTGATATACACACGAGTTTCTATGGTAGCTCATCAATGTCATAATTAAATGACATTGAACCAAATGAGTACCTGCCGTAAATGGTTGCACCTATAGCTTTCAAGTGCAAACAATGCTTGAAAATATCAGCTATCTGTAGTCATGGCTGAGGACCCAGCCGTGGTGGGGGTCCATGTCTCTGGCTACCAAGTTTTGTTCTAGGATGTGATGGCCAAGTCCTGGGGTTCAGGAACACACATAGACACCTGTGCCCACACAGAGGGACAGCTTCTGTCCTGCTTCTAAACTTCTGTAGCCAAAGAGAACACAACCTCATCATCTTTGTAAAACAGAGCCTTCTGCTCCAACTGTTGGGTTTAAATGCCAAAGGAGCACCTTTGAATTTTTCTCTGAGCGCTTCATTCACCCAGCAGCCAAGCACCAAGGAAACTAATTTAGAGAAACAGGATACAGATTGGACCCCAGGGAAGACAGCTGGTTAGGTTTCCTACCCTTTACACTATGGGTGAAGCTGCCTCTAAGAATCTAGGATGATCCTGAGCTTGGGCAGGGGAGCATGACCGAGTGTCCTGTGCATGTGCTAGGTTCCTGTCTGCCCCTCTCCTGGCCACCCCTGCCCACTCAGGCCTGGAGTGCTCTTCTGCTCTGCCCCTCATGCCCAGCAGCACCCCATCTTCTCTTCTCATTTCTTGCATCTAAGTTCCTCATCCTGCAGTTCTCAGGTGGAATGCCCCTTCCTAAAGATGACAATATGAACCCCCTAACAGAAGTATGGTTCTCCATAATTCTCCATTCTCATTCAGAGCTCCCAATGGTTTGCTCCATAGCACCAATCACGATATGTCATCATGTGTTTCTGTAAGGGCTGATTCATTTCAAGTTTGTCTAGTAACACCCAGCCCAGTATTGTAACTACACGGGAGATGTGTCAACCAGTGCTTATTCACAGTTCTCAGTACATGGAGGGCAGTTGTCAATTATACATCTAAAAGTATATATGTATATGTCTGTCTGTCTAAATTTTTATTTGTCATCTATCTATTCTACATACCTACCTATCCATCCATCCACCCATCCATCCATCCATCCATCCATCCATCATTTATCCATCCATCTTTCCTCCTTCCTTCCCTCCCTTCTTTTCTCCCTCCTTCCTAGCCTGCCTGCCTTCCATGTATTGATTGATTGATCATCTGCCTATTTACCTATTATCTATCATCATCATCATCATCATTATCATCCATCTATCTATCTCCCATCCATCCATCCATCCATCCATCCATCATTTATCCATCCATCTTTCCTCCCTCCTTCCCTCCCTTTTTTCTTCCTCCCTCCCAGCCTGCCCGCCTTCCATCCATTTTCTATCTGTCCATCCATCTATCATCTATCAGTCAATCCATCTGTCCATCTATCCTTTTATCATTCATCCATCCATCTACCTACCTACCTACCTAAAAATCTGTCTATTACCTTGGCAAAGGTGGCTGACTGTTTACAGTGGAGGAAAGCCTGGAGACTATACAAGGATCATTTGTATTTGCTTCATTGAATCCACCAGGTTCAGGAAGCTCCCATATGCTTCTGTGTCCCAGGCAACTACTTCATTTCCTTCTGTGAGAAACTATCTGGACATGGGAGGTCCTCACACATATGTGCAGCACCTTCCTGGGCCCTCCATCCTCCGGCTTTGAACTGCTGTTGGACTTATCTCTTTCTTGAGAACACACTATAGAACACATTTATTTTAGAGCCTATCATTCATTGCCTGCCATCCTCACCTCCCTCAACTGCAGGCTCTTACAGGGCAGGGTCTGGCCTCTCTGTGAAGTTTGATGACGTTAACTACCCAGGTTGTCAGACAAGCTTCTGGTGCTTTTGGATTCTTCTTGTTGGCCATGACCAAGAAAATGTTTCTTTTTTTCATTCAACAGTGCATCATTTCACTGTTTATGCTTAGACAAAATCTCTGACTGCTTCTCCCTGCACCGCTCCCACCCCCCGCCCCCGGGCCATTTCAGGTCATTACTAGAAAAACTTTAACTTTTAGAAATATAATTTGTTGGAGAAGGAATCAAAGTTTGATAAGGAGTCATCATTTCTAATTTTAGGCACGGATGGCCATCGCTCTTTCTACTCCACAGATACTTAAACTCTGTTGCTGATTCCTAAATATTTACGTGGAACTCACTGGGAAGCATTCTTGCGTTGGAAGCGATAAGAAAGACACTACAGCATGTAAGCCTCACTTAGACTGTAACCCAAACCTCCAGGTGGGAAAATACATTTGGAAACAATGTTCTCTTAAAGAGGAGAGCTCTACCTAACTCCAACTCCAGCGAATACCAGGAACCGTTCTCCCTTCCGGTCTGCTCCTTGTGGACCAACCTGGCAACAGCAGCACGAGGAGGCGCACATGTCACAACGAAGATAGAGGCAGGAAAGCCGACTTGGTCCTGATTCCCAACACAAGAAGGCTCTAGGCGCTAAGAGTGTTCTATAGGCTCATCATGGCCCCCAGAGACAAGCAAGGGTGTGTTCTGACTGCATCTCTCTGCCCACCACGGTTCACCCCACTGGGTACATTCCTAACACCCTGCCCCCACCCAAAGTCCTCACCTCTGCCCACTCTTCCACTTCTCACTGGTCAACATCCACCACAGAGAACAACCAACAAAAATAAACATATCAGTACTAACATAAATGCAAAACATTAACTTTAACCATCTCCATGAGAGTTCATTTTAGTTCTAGGTTTTTTCATTTGTTTCAGAATGATTTAAAATCCATTTTTCTCAGAGGAACTGAAACCCTCCAGATGAAGCCACAGGCAGGACCAGAGAACACTTCTAGTTAAGTGCTCACAAGCTTATGCACACAAGGGCAGGGCTGCCCTCACCCAAAGCTTCGCACATTTCCTGACCTCGGTGTCTATTTTACTCCTAGTGAAGCATCACAGTGTGCCAGGTCTCCAAAACCCGGCAGGGTAGTGATGCACAGTCTACAAAAGGCCAGGAAAGCCTGTGCTGTTCCTGCAGCTTTGTAGGTTCTCAGGAACTGTGCTGCAAGAAAACCTTAATGGCCCACACTCATTAAGGGGATTCTTGGCAAGTCTCAGAGGGTGTTTCTGTCCTCCCTCTGCCTGCCTTTCAGAGGCACCTTGAAGTAGGACAGCTGGAACTAGACTCAGTACAGGTACAAGGTGACAATATTAAGGTCTGTAACATTATCTCGGGGTAATTTGTCTTCTGTTTCCTATCTGCCCCCCACCCCAGTCATAGTCCATACCTTCAATTTCAATTTTGAACATGGCTGGGCCCTACCTGTCAATGATTCTAATGATTCTAGTTTGGAAAAGACTGGGGGTGGGGGATTAAGTCAAGACTTCAAGAAATGGACACCCCCTACCCAAAAGCTATTTCTAGCATTCCTTTCTTGTTGACACTCTGATGCCCCTCCGGCACAAACAGCCTGGATTAGACAAGCTCCCCAGAGCCTAGACAGGTATCTTTGGCACTGAAAGGCCTGACCAGGCCCCTCACCTGAAAAGACTAGCACCAGCAGATGGAAATACCTCCTTTTGGGGCTGACTCCCTGGTGCTTCTAGATAATAATAAGATTCTTTACTTGCACTCCCCATAATGGTGGTGAATGGTTCTTCCAGGGGTGTTGTGGAATCCTAGGTGACATCTGAGAACACGTGCAATAACCCTCATCCTTAAGATGCTCAGGCATCACAAGCTGTTGTATCTGTGAGCAAGCCTGATCCCCCCCAAATTAAATCTACTGTAAGTATATGAGCTCCTCTCTATCAAAGATTCGTATCGTTGCCAAGCTGCAGATTCTATGTGCACATTGCAGTGCTAGTGGCACAGGAAACAGGGCTCATGGCTCCCCATGATGCACTCACAGGCTACGAAAACCAGGCAAAATTAAAAGCTACTTTCTGATTCCCAGGTGTGACATTTCCCTGATTTCCAGGTGTGACACTCTCTGATTCTCAGGTGTGATAGGTTTCCCTTAACTACTAAGCTGCTCTAAACATCACCTGCCATAATGTCATGTTTGCTCCAGGCAGGACACAAGATGGCACTCAGGGCAGACTCTGAGGGTTACTGTTCCCAGGTCTGACTCACTTTTTGGAAAGTGCTACCTTAGCCAATCCATCTATAAGCCAGCCAACATCTGTGGTCATGCCTCCCTCTGAAAGATGATCAGGAATTAGGAAAGTAGGACATTTTCCATTAAGTACCTCTGCTATCCTCTGTTACCAAAAATGGTACATAGCATCAGGCCAGACTCTTGGGAACATCCTTCTACTCTGACCACCTTACCTTCTGATATCATCTACATTAAATTCTGACATCCTGGCTTAGTGTAACTCTCTAAACTTATTCTTTAGACTAAAGAATGGAAGTACATGGTCCAGAAAGCAAGATATCTCCCTCACTGTTTATTTAGAAGGGAGCACATCCCTGTTTCATGAAAAGACAGAATTCATGCTTCCTTTAGGACCCAGTCATTCCATATGCCTTCAAAGCGTTTGGATAAATGGCAGGAAGGGTTGGGTACTCACTCATACGTCCAGCACAGGTTCATCAGCTCATACATCTCTCTCGGACACCCCACAGGGCACCCCATCCTCTCTCCTTTCTCCAGCATAGCAGAAACTTCACTTCCTTTCATCCCCTAAAACATGCAAAATATACCTTAACTTTTTAAACTTAGTATTCAGCAAAACAAAACAACAAATAAATCCCACTCCCCCAAAGAAACAAAAAAGTATAAGTGGTATGATTTCAATTATAAAAATTACAAAAACAGGATTACCTAACCTATGATCTAGAAGTCAGATAGAGTTACCCTTGCAGGGACACTTGTGCCAGCAGGGGGAAAATGGATTCTAAGGTTCTGTTCTGTTTCTTCATCTATTTGTGAAGATTTATCAAGTTGTATCCTAGCATTTGTGTACTTTTTTTGTATGTAAATTTTGATTTAAAAAATATAAAAAATGTAACGAGCTGCCAATTTGATACTAACAATAGCCATTATTTCCATTTCTACCTTAATTACTATTAATTTGGTATGTTTTATGCATATTTATATGTGTAATACACAATGAAAAAAAGATATACTGTTCAGTTAGCATCAAATATATTTTTTTTAGTTTAGAATAAACTGAGGCTATATTGACTACCCAGTGTCAAAGATAGTGGAAGACTGAAGAAGGGTGCCCAGATTATGATATGTATGGTCCTGCAATGATAATTTGGTGCTTATCTGTACTGATGGCCACATAATTAGGAAATAAAACAGTAGTAGCTTACCCGATATGGTTTCTGCCCATAGGAAAACGCCTCCCACATTAACACTCCGAAGCTCCAGACATCACTCTTGCTGGAGAACTTGTAGTAGTTGATGCATTCTGGAGCGTACCACTTCACAGGCCACTTCCCGTGGGTCTGGGCCTGAAAGCAGTGCAAATGAAGAACTCTCATTAGGAATAAAATTGTGGACACCCATGTTTATAGCTGCACTCTTTGCAACAGCCAAAATGTGGAAGCAACCCAAGTGTTCATTGACAGATGACTGGAGAAACATAATGGGGTATACTCATACCATTGAATGTCATTCAGCCTTAAGGAAGGGGAGTCTGACACAGTACGACGTGGATGAACCATGAGGTTACCTTTTATTATACTGAGTAAAATAAGCCAGTCAAGTCACTAAAGGACATACATTGTATGATTCCACTCATCTGAGGCCCACAGAATAGTCCAAATAATAGAGACAGAAAGCAGAATAATGGTATTCAGGGGCTGGGTGGAGAAAGAGGATGGGGAAGTTAGTGTTTAAGGATTATAGAGTTTCAATGTTGGAAGATGAAAAGAATTCTGGAAATTGGTTGTAAACAAAGTGAATGTACTTAACATTACTGGATTGTAACCTTTAAAAGGGTTAAGATGGTAAAATTTATGTTACATGTATTTTTCCACAATTAAAAAAAATAAAATCATGACTCTCAAAATGACGCATGTGTGTATGTGTACAAATTTAGTCTGAATCTGAAAAATATAATTAAATCCTAAACTCTTAAATTTTTAAGATTTAAATGCATCTTTTTAAATACAGACTGAATTTCTTGTATCTTTTAGTGTTTTTCTCTCATCTCTTCCTTTGGTCACTCACAGCTTCATGGAGCTCGTTGTCACAATGCAAGAGTCAAACCTGAATATTACTTCATGGTTATGCTCCAAGAAATATTGGGCTGTTCACAAGTACTTTTAACTGCTACTATGTACTTGTCTATAGTCTTAAGCCAACAATAATTATTTTGGCATAGACTGTTTACCAGTAGCATTAAAATATGTTTTAAACTTTCTAATTAAAAAAAGTACATGGTGGGAAAGAGATCAAAATCGTGCCTATCAAAATGCTTTCCTTTGGGGCTTGAGGTTCAGTGTGGTGTGGGTAAGTCTCGCTGCCTCTTGTGGATGTCACTGTAATCTGGGTAAAGTCTCCTGGAGCAGAGGAAGGGAGGCAATCTGCCCTAATGTGGGTCAGGAGGGGGCAACTTGGGGACATCAATCTGAGACCATGGGTGCACTTCTCTGTATGAAACACTGATTATTTTTAGATTTTGATTTCAGAACTTGTGAACAATATAGTCATGTGTGTTATCTCAAGTTTATTCTGAATTTTGAACTGATAAAAGGATAAACCTTTGACAAATTCTAAATTTGATGAAATATACCCTCTTTCCACCACGAACTCCAAATTCTTAACCACAGAGATAACCACACTTGATAATTTTTCTTGGATCCTTCTAGAATATATATATATTATGTATGTTGTTGTCATTTCAACAATCTTCACAGCGTCTTCACCAGGACTAGATTCCTTCTCAAGGAACCACTCTCTTTGCTTATCCAGAAAAAGTAACTCTTTATCCATTAAAGTTTTGTCAAGAGACTGCAGCAATTCAGTCACATTGTCAGGCTCCTCTTCTAGTTCTAGTTATTTTGCTGTTTCCACCACATTTGCAGTTATTTCCTCACTGAATCCTTGAATCCTTCAAAGTCATCCATGGGGCTCGGGGTCAGCTTCTTCCAAACTCCTGTTATTGTTGCTATTTTGAACTCTTCCCCTGAATCATGAATGTTCTTGAATGGTGAATTCTTTCCAGAAGGTTTTAAAGTTTCTTTGTCTAGATCAATCAGAGGAATTGCTATCTATGACAGCTACAGAGGCCATTATAGGGTTAATAATTGGCCTTATTCCAATATTATTGTATCTCAGGGAATAGGGAGGCCTGAGGAGAGGGAGAGAGAATGGCTGGCTGGTGGAGCAGTCAGATTGCATATAACATTTATTAAGTTTGCTGTCTTATATGGGTGCAGTTTGTAGAGCCCCAAAACAATTATAATAGTAACAACAAAAATCACTGATCACAGAACACCATTACAAAAATATTAATAAGAACTTTGAAACATTGCAAAGATTACCAAAATTTGACACAGAGACACAACATGAGCAAGTGCTCTTTAAAAAATGGTGCCAAAAGACTTGCTTGATGCAGGGTCGCTACTATACTGTATTGTAAAAAATACAATATCTGTGAAGCACAATAAAATGAGGTATGTCTATTTGCCCTGTATGTAGGGTACTCAGAAGGAGTTGCTGGATCAAAGGGTGTGTGTGTTTACAGTCTTGGTGCTGCACAATTTCAGCTGCAGCACACTGTTTTCTGGGTGCCAAGCTCATTTGCTTCCCTCATTATCATTTCTCTTAAATTCTGTTTGACTTTTTATTCTTTTCCATTTCATTTTTGCTTTGTTTTCTTAAGAAAAATCCTCATGTTGCCATGTTTTTCAGAGTGTTCAGTCTCTTTTTGCAGGTTCTAACATGCCTTTGAGTTTTTTGTACGATATGATGATTTATGCACATTATATTGTGAAATGTTTAACACAACATTAGTTAACACACCCATCACTTGACTTATAACCATTTTTGTTCTTGTTATCTTGAGAACATTTAATATCTACTCTCGTAGCAACTTCCAAGTATATAACACAGTATTTTTAACTATAATAATCATGCTGTATATTAGAGCCCCAGAACTTACTCATAACTGGAAGTTTGTACCCTTTGACCGTCTTCACCCACTTCCCCCATCAATTTACTGTTTCAATGTGTTTAGATTTTTTGGATTCTACATTTAAATGAGATCATAGAGCATTTGCCTTTTTCTGTCTGACTTATTTTACTTAGCATAATGCTCTCAAGTTTCATCAATGTTGTTGCAAATGTCAGAATTTTCTTCCTTTTTTAATTGCGTGTGTGTGTGTATGCATTTTCTTTATCCACTTATCCAATTATGGACATTTAGATTGTTTCCATATCTTGGCCATTGTAAATAATTCTGCAGCGAAATGGGGTATACAGACATCTGTACCAGATAGTGATTTTATTTTCTTCAGATAAATATGCAGAAGTGGTGTTGTTAGATCATATGGTAGTTCTATTCTTAATTTTTTTGAGGAACCTCCATACTACTTTCCATAGTGACTGCACCAATTTACATTCCCATCAACAATACACAAGAGTTCCTTTTTCTCCACATTCTTGCCAATACTTGTTATCTCTTGTCTTCTTAATAATAGCAATTTTGAAAGGTATGAGGTGATATCTCACTGTGGTTCTGATTTGCATATCCCTGATGATAAGTTGAGTACCTTACCTTTTCATGTATTCGTCATCTGTTTGTATTCTTTGGAAAAAATGTCTGTTCATATCCTTTGCTCATTTTAAAATCTGATTATTTTAAGCTGCCTTTTCATTCTGTTGATTGTTTCTTTTGATGTATAGAAACTTTTTGTTTGATGTAGTCCCAATTGTTGATTTCTGCTTTTGTTTCTTGTGCTTTTAGTGTTATATCAAAAAAAAAAATTGCCAAGACCAATGTCGAGGAGATTTTTCTATATGTTTGTTTGTGTGTGTGTGTGTGTGTGTGTGTGTGTGTGTGTGTGTGTGTTTAGGAGTTTTATAGTTTCATGTCTTAACGTTTAAATCTTTAATCCAGTTTGAGTTAATTTTGTAAGTGACCTGAGGTAGGGGTCCTATTTCTTTCTTTTGCATGTGAATATCCAGTTTTTCCAACACCATTTATTGAAAAGACTGTCATTGCCCCCTTGAGTACTCTTGGCTCCCTTGTCCAATATAAGTTAAATGTATTTGCGTGGGTTTATGTCTGGGCTTCCTTTTCTGTTCCATTGATCTACATATCTGTGTTTGTGACCATATCATACTGTTTTGATTATGATAGTTCTATAGTATATTTTGAAATCAGGGAGCATGATATCTCCAGCTTTGTTCTTTTCTGAAGATGGCTTTGATTATTTGGGATCTTGTGTGGTTCTATACAAATTTGGGGATTATTTGTTCTAGTTCTGTGAAAAATGCCATTGGAATTTTGATAGAGGTTGCAATGTATCTGGAGATTGCTTTATGCAATATTAACATTTAACAATATTCTTACAATCCATGAGCATAATTTTCATTTATTTGTGCTGTTCTCAATTTCTTTCATTAACTTCTTATACTTTTCAGAATACAGGTCTTTCGCCTCCTTGGTTAAATTTATTTTTAAGTATTTTATTCTTTTTTATGCAACTGTAAATGTAATTGTTTTCTTAATTTATCTTTCTGATAGTTAATTATTGATTCCCTATTACTCCAAGGAAAATAGTTTGGCAGATACTATTCCGAGTAAATCTAAAGTCATGATATATTAGAGTATTTCCATTTTCTTTAAACAATAGAATCAAAGCTTAAGAAGAATATTTTTTTTACACAGTTATTTTTAAATTTTAAATCCCACCATAATATAATATAGAAGACATACATTTACATTTCAGATTTTTACTACCTGGTACACTAAATACTGGCTAAGTTGTTCCTACCTTGTAGTAGTTTTCATCAGCACGAAGTGCTTTGGAAAGTCCAAAATCACTGATCTTGGCATAATGTTGAGTAACCAGCAATACATTTCTTGCAGCAAGATCTCTGTGCACAAAATTGCACTCCTCCAAATATTTCATTCCCATAGAAACCTGATGAACCAGTTCTATAATGTTCTTATCCTTGACATGCCTGAAAGTCACAAGTTTGTCATTAATGATAGTGGATAGTAGTTCATTTCAGAACAACCAACCGTGCTCCTCACACAGAAAATAAATCTATTCATTTCTTATTCTTCTTAAGCAAGAGCCATGAGTGGTGACAAATTTCCCCGTTAACCTATAACTGTTCAAAACTGATCATCATTCTTCTGGTGGTCAACTGGTACAATTTTCAAGGCATGCTTTAAATGATATGAAAAGCAGTTTAATGGGGTGATCAGACCTGGCTCATTGAGAGCCAGGCTTCAGTTGGAATCCTTATTCCAATATTGTATAGGTAACAAAACCAACCCTGACTCTCAATTTCTTACCTATGCAGAGGGGCAACAACATCTCTCTCCTATGGAGATTAATGACACAATCTAAGTAAGGTACAAATATAATGTAGCAAATGAGTTGAAGTAAAGTGCTTATTCTTATGAGTTATTCCACACAAGTTCTTCTATCTCAAAAATGGCTTTAGAAGAGAACAGCATGATTACTCCATCCATGGTCGTAATCAAGTAGTAGCAACAGATATTTTCAGAAGTAATTATTCAAGGAATGTAGAGGTCAGCCAGACATGCAAGTCATCACTGTTATCCCTTATAAAGTGTATATCAAATATTTCTTGTAAAATAGCACATTTTTCTCCATGTGGGGAGGTTGACTGATAAGATATTCTAAAGCTGATTCTACCACTGGGCCCATACAGAGTGAGCAAAGGAAAATAAAACCAGATTGTTGGATTAGAGTTTTTCTTTGCTAAAAGAAGCTAAAAGAACATTTCATCCAAAGACTACAGCTCTCTTTCTCTCTTCCCTCCTCTCTTAAGGTGTGGACCGACACTGCAACAACATGGGAGGAGAGAAGCTTCTTGTAGAAATCAGGCTACTATGTGCATCGGCGGGTGGGCCCTGCCCCTCACAGCATAAACTTCTGGGGCACCTAAAGATACCTGTTCTGCTGTAAATATTTATTGAGTGGACCAAGTTCCGCCATCTCCATAACCAGCATCCAGGACTCGGCTTCACAAATCCCGATCATGCGCACAATGTAAGGGTTGTCCAGTTGCTGCATGACGTTCGCTTCTGCTAACAGCTCATCTTTAAGGGCCGGGTCATTGGCCTCATTTTTCAGGATTTTCACAGCTACTGTTTTCACACCTCTGCAAAGAAGTCGTAAAACATAAGAAACTTTTCAAAGTGGCTAACCTCTAGATAATACTCTGCTACGAAGTACGATTCCTACACTAGAAATGATGTTATGCAAATAACTGCAACAGATTGAAATTACATCTTAAGAAGCCATGCTATAAGTGACTAGTAATGGGGGATGGTGCAGAAGAATGCCCCAACTAAGGAGAAAGCCGAAATATGAGAAAATATTTAAATAATTTTCATAGAAAACCTTACAAACTATGACAAACATGAATTTCTATAACATATTGAGATTTGCCATCTCAGATTATGTGTAACATATGTAAATACGACATTCCTTTAGTATATGTTAAATATGAATTTCTGGATGCAGAAATAAAAAGCATACACTTTTAAAGCTCATAGTTTACAAAACATTTAAACAGGTTTATTTTAAGTGTGCCTCAACAAGTTTGTGAAAAAATAATTATTTTTTTATTTTCTAATAAAAACATCATATAGGTCATGTTTGAACTCTTGAAAATAGTCTTATATAATAGAGCTTAAATAAATGAACAAAACTTAACTATGTGTGATTTGAAAAACTGCATCTCTCTGTGAATACAATTCCCACAAATGTGGGAAATATACCTCTTCTGTTGAATTCCAAAATGGGAGAATAAAACCAGAACTAGCCAATAAAACAGGTAAAATAAGAGAATAGCAGAGTAAGTCTGACATACATTCAGAAAAGCACAGACAACTTCAGAGTAGAACTCAATGAATGTTTACACACTAGACACATGCTGTAGCTTCTACACAGATGGAGGCAAAGAACACCACCAGCACCCCAAGAGTCCCCCTCATCCTTTTCCTGAGATCATGGAAAAATACTATCCTATGCTATCTCTAGACAGTTTATTGTTTTACCTTCACATTTTAGTCTATCATCCATCTGGACTGGTTTTGTGTATGGTATGAGGTAGGGGTCAAAATTAACAAGCAAAAAATTCTTGATTCTTCCCAATGTTTCAGGAAGAAATAATACCTACAGCCTTTTCCAGGAAAGAAAAGAGGAAGGAAACTTCCCAACCCATTTTATGAGGCCAACATTACCTTGATGCCAAAACAGACAAAGAAATTACAAGAAAATAATTTCATGAACATAGATGCAAAAATTCTAACAGAAGTATTGTAAATTCAGTTAATTATAAAAAGGATATTATTAATATATAATTCGTGAACAAGAAAGGTTTATTCCAGGAATGCGAGGTGGGTTTAATATTTGAAAATCAATCAGTGCAATACCACATGAACACAATAAAGGAGGAAAACCAAATGTTTTTCCCAGCAGAGGAAAAAGAAATTCAAAAAAATATATAATACAGATTCATGATTAAAAACAAATTTCTCAGAAAAGTAAGAATAGAAGGAAACTTTTTAATTCTGATAAAGACCAGCTACAAATATAATAGTGAAACACTGAAAGTCTTTTCCTGAAATCAGGAATGAGCAATGAGGCAACTGCTACTTTTATTCTACATTGAGCCTCAGTTCCTGGGTAATAAAAAAAGGCAAGAAGGAAATATAAAAAGTATAAGGATTAGATAGAATAAAATAAAACTGACATTATTCATAGATGACACATTTCTGGGTCAAAGACTACACAGCTAAGGTACTCAAATAATAAATGAAAAATAATGGATGAATTCAGCAAGGTTGCTAGGTATCGGTCAATAGGCAAAACCAGTTATATTTCCACATTCAACTAACACTAGAGATTAGCAAATTAAATTTTAAAAATTATAGGATACATATTAATTTCAAAAGTACTAAATACCTACAAATGAAGCCAACAAAAAAAGTTGTGCAAGACCTCTAAATAGAAAACTAGACAGCTCTGCTGAGAGAAACCTGAGAGAAGTTAGAAATGACTCAAGTAAATGGAGGGATGGGTCATGTTTATTGACTGAAAGACTTAACATTGCAAAGACCTCACTGTGCTCCAAAATGATCTATAGGATCTCTTCTCTCCCTAAACCCTCTAGTTGAAATTATGTATCTATAATCATGTCTATGTTGATTTACATATATAATTAAAAAAAGAAATTTAAGTATCACAAACTAGTTGTGGAAATGTATACCTTAACGCAGGATAATTTAAATGTATTTTACAAAATGACTGTGGTATATATACATATATTTTAAAATAAGCATATTATTAAATTTTATATATACACTTATACACACACAGATATACACACATAGAGAGAAGGGGCAGGATTGAAAGCAAGAGTTTCTGTATATACTTGTATCTATATTCCTGAACTGTATAAATTACTTACTCAAGAAAAAAATTTTAAATTCCTTAAATTTAAAATAGCATTGAATAACAAAACTAATTTTATTCACATCGGTGACATACTAATTCAAACATACATATTCAAAGGGAGGATTTGTTTCAAAGAAATTTAGAAACCACTATTTTTACTGAACATTCTATGTGGGTTAACTTCTAAAGACCAAATGAAGTACAAAGAGATTTTAGTCATTTAGCAGTCGTAATTATTGTGTAATAACTACTATTTGTAGCTTAGCAGTTCTAATTGTTGTATAATATGTATTGCTACAATATAAAATTATAGGATAAAGCAAGTAAATAATTAATGTAATAATATTTGGAATTAGGGACTTTCTAGAAAAGAGAAATGAGACATTTTTTAAAAATAAAAGAAAATAGTGAAAACATGCTAAAGTGAGTTAACAGTAGTGGTATTTGGGTAGTAACAATCTGACATTGTTATATTCTTACGTTTTGCTTCCTTCTGTTTTCTAAAGGATACATGTACTATGTCTAAAATAATATATATAATTACTATACACATAATAAATATACATAATGGATGCTTTTATGGTAATTATACCACAAATGAAGAAAAATTATATTGTTAATAAAAAAGATTTAGCTATGGTGCGTTACATTTTGTGTTTGGGATGCAATCAACATAATATATGCATATGTATTAGTTTCTAGCATATAAGTTCACATGAGAATGAGTGTAGTATGACAGTGCAAAGCTTTGACTTACTTTTTCATCTGGTAGGAGCCCTTCTTCACAGTTCCAAAGTTACCAGAGCCCAGTTCCTTGTCCTCCAGGGTTAACAGCTGCCGGTCCAGGTAGACCTCCTTGGGCCTGATCTCCTCTGGGTCTGCATAGGGGCTTTCGTACACTTCTGTGTCCATGGGCAAGGCTTCTCTCTGGGCATCTACAATGAAGTCAAGAAACACGCAACCCCAGGGCTAGATCCCTTGTGAAAATCCCACTCCTACCTCCTGTGGTCACAGCTTGCCTTTCAAGACCTTGGTCATTTTGGATAGTTTTAGTGCCAGTGAGTACCCAAGGCACAGTCTTGCCCAGCTCATAGAGGGGCAGTAAAAAGCCCCTCACTCCATTGAACTGGACCCCCATTCTTGCGTTAATATTTATCAAGAAAGGGTCTTTCATGCCAGAGGCAAAGATAGCTGGGGCCCTCCTCATGGGCCATGGTGGCTTTAACTATGTCCGAAAATTCTGATCTTCCTTCTATTGAGAGGTACAATCTATGTCACCTCCCTTTGGTGGCTTTTGTAACTGTGTCAACTAATAAAGTGTATCAAGAGTGATGTTTGTGATATAATCAGAAGAGGTTATACAGGGCTCATTTGTTGGAAACTTGGTTCTTGAAGCTCTGGACACCATGCAAGGTATCCAACTGCCCTGACATCTTTTATACTGTAAGACGGTCCAAGCCCAGGTGGAGAGACCAATCAGAGAGTTCCCCAAGACTAAACGAAGACAAGGAGATGCTGGCCAGCCCCTAGAGCTCCAGCCTCACCACACCCTCCTCCCTGCTGGCCCAGATCCAGATCTAATCTTACTAAGAGAGGCCCTGAGCCACAACCACCCAACTGAGCCTTGCCCAAATTCCTGACCTGCACTGGATAATTGAATGAAAGAAAATTAAATGACTGCTGTCATTTTAAGCTTCTGTTTTGGGTGGTTTTTGTAGCAATAAAAAGACCAAGTTCATCAACAAAAATGATCTGGGGTCACCTGCAGAACCCAAGAAGGTCATCTGGAGGCCCCATTTCTGATAGCTAGTAGAGGGCTACTGACTTCATTGAGGGGTGGCATCCTGAGTTGCATCCTCTTGTGGCTTCACACAATCACCACAATTCCCTAAACATGTCTACAATTCCAATAGCTCAGACATCCCTTCAGGTTCTACCAGCCACACCTTATTGCACCTTCTGCTGAAACATATTAGTTTCAAATATCTTTCCAAGAGCACGATCTTCTCAGAAATGTGAACATTGAGTAGTATCAATATTGAAAAAGAAGAGAAGTTCTCTAGAAACAGCATTGAAAAACATTTTCAGTGTGGCCAGTTCATTGTGAGGGAGCCTGTACAGACCAATTCATCTAGTTGTGAATGTCCGGCGACTAAAAGGGCATCTCTCACCTCTTCCTGAGGTCCAGAGTCCTCCGTCTGACTCATAGGGATTAAACGTCACAGAGCTGTCTAGCCGGTTATCTTGAGATGAGGGGGTCTGAAGCACACAAATAATATGTCACTTTTCTTCACTGATACACTGCTGAGTTGATCTGCATAATTATTTTTATTTCCAAACAATCACATTTTAACTTATGCAGAGAAGACAAAGGGAGAATTAGGAAGAGAGACATGAAAAAAGATGGCTTATCTCATTCTTCGGGCAACTGCTTGGATCCTGTGAGTGCTAAATACAGTTATGTTCCCACAACTCAAGGTGTTGTAAGGGTCTCAGAGGCTTTGTTTGGGTAGATTCCCTCCCTACTTAGAAGCCTTTCAAATCCTATCTGCGCCTCCCAAAAGATGCTGCGGATTTTCATGATCCCCTTGGATTCCTATTCTTCCATTACTCTTTCTCTTCAATTTTATGCTATATGGAAATTATTTAAAAACAAACATTAAATATCCACCAGCTGTTTCCACTCACTCCTCAACTCCTAAGTGTCTATGCAGACCTTACCTGAGGAAGGTATTCTTCCTTATACTGGGAGCAGGTAATTGAAGCACACAGCAGCAAAGTTTTGCTGGCCATTATTACTGGCAACCTCCACTATTATCTATTTGATTTACATTAATTTGCATCACAAAATGGAGGGGGGAATCTACTCCTTATATTCCTATAACCTTTCCTTTTTGTAAGTCTCTCTCTCATCTTCCTGACCCACACTTAGCCCCAGTGTAAAATGAGGGTATTGCTACTAAATTTGGTTCATGGAAAAACCACAATTGGATTTTTTTTTTTTTTTTTTTTTGGTGTGAGTTGAGTAGAAATTTTATACATCCATTTATCTTATCAGTGCCCAAGCACTGGCCATGAAGAAATGAGATACTCCCAGATTTTGGAGAAATTTAAGGAAACAGACATTAAGCTTAATTGTACACAGTCACTTATCTTCCAGCACACACTAAATATCCTTGTCTGTCTTCCTGATCTCACAGTCCCAGGAACCAAAAGTACAATGAAGTCACAATATGCCACAGCTGCCACTTGGCCGGGCCACTTGTCTCCAAAACCTTGACTTCCTTCTTTATGCTGTCTACTGAGAGCTACAGAGCTAGCACCTAAAGTGACAAAGGCCCATCTGACATGGCTAAAGGACACCTGTTCTTATGTGTCAGTGGGATATCACCAGATCCATTTTCTCATGACTACTTCGCATTCTTACCAAACTGTTTAATAAAAGTAGCTATGACATATCAGGAATGAAAATAAAATCTAAGTTCTAGGGGGCATAGTAATTCATTTACTGCATTGGAGCTTTGTCACACTCACTGTTGGTGTTCAATAAAAATGTGTCAAACACGTGATGAATGAATGAATGAATGAAGAAACTTCTTAAGCTGGGAGATGTGAAATGTAAATTAATATGATTTAAAAATGAGTTCTAGTAAGTCTTTATATTAATTGAAGGAAATAGGTGAGGGCAATTCCAAATGACAATCTATCTCTTTTAGAAATTTTCATATGATTAAAGGACTATTGGATGTGCTGTGAGTTCATGTCTCAATTACAACATAATTGCCCTGTCTCAGCAGAACTGTCCTAGGAAAAGCTTGGTAATTCATAAATCTTTCCATCCTCCCCTCTGCTCAGTTCTCTCCTGAAATTGAACTCCAAGATGTAAATAGTTTTCGAATTAAAAAAAAAAGTCTTTTTTACGTTTACATTTCTATCATTTCAACTTCTCTGATTTTCCTTGCAGGTAGGAAAGTTCTGAGATCCAAAGAAATACTTCGAGACACAAGGAACATCCATCACAGACACAGAGAGGCACGAGTATCTATTCTCTTGACCTTAAGCTCTCCTGCCCTCTGCCCACTTAAGACCATATCTTGGGGCTGCAGCCTCTCCACTCTCATAGAATGGTCTCCCGAGCAGGAGGACTTCATAAAAGCTGTTGTTATATTAAAGCCAGAATGCAATTACCTGACATATGAATCCTTTGGGGAAGAATTTTAAAACAGAGGTGGGGGTGTGAAAAATACTGAAAAGGATACCAGGGCATCAAGAGTAAGTCAGAATGAGTAGTGATGGACAAAGCAAACTTAAAGGCGTGGACAGAGTAATGAGTACTCTGGTTAGCAGTATGGTGTTCACCCTCATTCTGGGGACTGTGGATAAGGAAGAAAACAGGTTAAAGATCCCCTCTGGAAGGTGGGGCTCCATGTTTTCAGCTAAGGTGGCTCAGGGCTCATTTCAAGGCTGTCTGCAGACAACCGTGCAAGTACAGCCTTCAGAGCCCGGCCAAGCCTCACCCTGCCCTCAATAACCATGTCAGCTCTCTGCCTGGACTCCTCACTCACTCTCCTGCACTGGGACAGAGAATGGCACTACACTCAGGAGAACGTTCTTGGAAGAAATGAGAGGTTTTCCGCTGTGTCAGTTAAAAGTGCAGTGATGGCTTATGATGAAGATGAAGAAACAAAAAGCAAGGTTCATCTTTCCCAAAGTACTTGGTGAATACGTCATTTAGTAGAACAGCAACAACAACAAAAACCTTCTGGAATAGAATGCTTGGTAGAAAAGAAGAATTTGAGGGCATTGTAAAGAATGAGCTTGAAGGCATACAGTTAATTATAAAAATATTGATTAGTATTTAAAATTTAATGGTTTTAATTTAATGAAAAGCATATTGTTGGTTCACTATGCACTTGTCATTAATCTTCTTGCTTCGTATTTAATGATTTATTCTGCTCTAATCAATAGTATCACCTTTTCTGCTTAGAGAACAAGGTATAAATGAATGTCAGCAATTGCTTTTTTCCCTCATTTTTGCTACTTACAACAGAAGGCAAATCTGTAAGTCACCACTAGATGGCACTAACTACCTTAGCTTTCTACCCTCCAAAGAGCAGTTAGTAATATTTAAGTTTTATAAATTCTGGTAAAAACAGATCACTCTACAACAATACAATAAAAATTAAGTTAGGTAATAAGTTATAATCCCTGATCTCTTAATTTCCAGGATTAACTTCAAGTAGAAAATGTATTTGACAAATTTTCTTTGAGTGCTTACATTTAAGAAGTAAGGATTTGGAAGTGAACAAAAGAGAAAAAAATATGCATCTCTTATGGAGCTGCCGGGTTAATTCAGAGTTTCCTGATGTGGGAATATTGCTCGTTTCCATTTCTAGACCTTAATTTTTAGATTTCTTGAAAGACATTTTCAAATTAGGCAACAGCAGTAATAAAGATGAGGACACACTTGTCACAACCACAGTGACAAAAAAAAGGCCGTTAGGTTTCACTGACCACTGACTGCCATAAACCAACATGATTCTGGCCTCTGATGAAGACTGTGGTCCTATGGGGGAATAAGTCCTCACAGCTAAGGGAAGACCTTCCTTGGCCAAGACATGGGGTACTATTATGTTTCTTGCAGATCCATGAAAATAAACACTTGACCTTCATGATTAATCTTCACTCACCTTATAAGTTAAGACCTTAAATCTGGCCCTTATGATATAGAAACACATTTTTGCAAGGGTCTGGCCCACTGCTTTGGCATTATCAAACAAGTATGACTTGAGAACTTCATTTTCTTTTTTTCTCTCCCAGCTGAACCCTAGTGAATGGTATAGTAAATATGTCTTAAAATATTTCAATCATCAATGTATGTGCTGGAATGAAACAAAAAATAGGTTTCAATTTGGAATTCTGGAACACATTTCCATAAATAAGACAAATGTGAAAGCTATGTCTCAGAGAATGTGCCTCTGAGTCTTTAAGGATGCTGTCCACACTGGCAGTTTTCCTTAACAGAAAGATAAGTGTATGTACTTAAAGTAACAAAGAAAAATATTCCAGTACTAATAACAGGAGGGATTTTATTCATTTAAGGGCTACCAGTCCATAAAGTAAGTGTATGGTGGGGGGCAGAGAGAAGGTGAATCACACTTGTATTCTTTAGTTGAATTTAGTTATATTTTTAAGTGCTGAAATGTTACCAATCTCTAAAGAAAAGTTTAAAATACACCTGCCATTAAGTATTATGAAATTTTAAATTATCTGATTAATAAACTTCAAATCAAAACACTTTTCATTAACTACCTATATGCTAGTTTTAATTCAAGTTCTAACATGTATTTTTATGCTTGAATTATTAAACACTATTCATATCAATCAAATTAACAAATGTCAGAAAGTCAGAACCAAAAGCTAGAGAGATGAAATATTTGACATAATTCCCACAAGTCTTTTATCATACTGGTTAAATAATGGAAAATTCTCACTTCTACTGGTGAAAATATAAATATTAGTTTTCCTAAAATACTTCTGATGAGCAATTAAAATATCTTTAATCCATAGCTTGAATCACATGGTAATCTTATTTTTTTGGGATCTGTGCAAATTCCATGCATACTTAAAAGTTATTATAAATTTAAATCAACAGCCTTTTTTTTGGCCAGAAAAGCATTTTCATAGTATTAATAAGATGAATTACTTTCTAATATTTAATTCTCTTTTAAAAATTGATTAAATAATTTTAATAGGTGAAAATTTAAAAAGGCATAACAGGGTTTACAATGAAAAGGTCTCTTTGACAACCCTTTTTTCTAGTCTCAAGGCAACAAGTGTTCCAGTATTTTCTGTATTCTTCCAGAATATTTTATATTATATTGACACATATATATATATATAGATATGTGCATGACTTTGTTGTTTGCAATTAACATTGTATTTTGGAAACAACTCTGGATCTCAGCTACCTCCCATAGTATGAATTTTATTGTAAATGATTCCATTTATCTCATTGATAGACTTCGCCAACAATACAGTGTTGGAACAAATATCCTCATATATACATGATTACATATAAATGCAAAAATAACTGTATGATAAATATTTAGAAACAAAGTTGCAATTAAGAAGTTACATGTGCTTTTAATGTATAGCCATGCCACCCTGAATGTGCCAGATCCTGTCTGATCTCAGAAGCTAAGCAGGATCGGCCCTGGTTAGTACTTGAATGGGAGGCCACCTAAGAACACCAAGTGCTGTAGGTGTTAAAAAAAAAAAAAGAAATTATATGTGCTCTTAATTTAGATGGATGTGTAAAACTGCTTCTCAGAGAAAAGTGTGAAAGTGTTTATTTACCACACGCTTACTGCACATTGTGTCACTAAGCTTTCTTATTCGAATCAGTTTCACAGGTGGACATAACAGAGCACCATAATTTTAACTTGCATTTCTCTTATAATAAAATAGAACAGCTTTTCCAATGTTTAAGAGCTATTTTTATTTGCTTTACTATAAACTACCTGATGTTCTCTGCCTAATAGCCTGTTAGTTAAATGTTTTTAATCAATTTATAGAATCTCTTTACATATTAAAGATATTAAAGTTATATTTGTATCATCATTACTACTACTTATTCCAAGTTTATTATTTCTTTTTAGATGACGTTATGATTCTTACCCATATGTATATTTCTTTACTCTTATGTAAATATCAATAAGGCAGGTAGACTTATTGATATTTTCTTCGACTTTCTTTAGACATGTTCTCTTTTAGTATAAAGATCTACTAAAAATTATTTTCTGGAGTTTTCTTTAATCAGTGTGAGTGGCCTGAGCTGCTTTCAGCCTGCCTGGGACAATGATGGGGGTGAGAGTAGGGCTTATCTCCTCACAACACTGGGCTGATGTCAATCTGGTTAGCCTGAACTATAGCCCTCCGTTATTGAATCAAACCATGATTTTGGGACTGTTGAGGAGAGATTTTTGCAGATGTAATTAAAATTCCTAATTAGTTGATTTAAATTGGAGAGATTATCCTAGGTGGGCCTGGCTTAATCAGTCAAGAGTCCTAGAAGAGAGTTGAGGCTTTCACAAGAGAGAAAAAAGTATGTGTGTGTGGGGTGGCGGGTAGACAAGTGAGCCCTGGCTGTAGGTGATGGCTTCAGTTGTGCTTGAGAGGTTTCATCCTCATTCTCTCTTCCTGTTGGCCTGCCCTACAGACATCAGACTTGCTTAGTCGGCTCCTAAATTGTGTAAGGCAAGTCCTTGTGTTAAATTTATACGTGTGTGGGGGTGCACCTGTATATAGACGTGTGTAGGCATAAATATGTGTGTGCATGTGTGCATTATGTATGTACCTATATGTGGGGGATATGTACATTTTATACATAAATTTCCAACTGGTCATACTCTCCTGGTTGAACTCTGAATGATATACCTGGAAACCACGGAATTAAGATAAATGTAGAATGCTGTGTCTACGTTTATAGTGAAATGGCTCATCTCTGGGACTGTGCCTGTATTGGGGGGGCTGTGTATTGGCACATAGGCTTGGCTTTGGGCCATCATAAAGAGATTGATAAATAAATAGGTGGTGGGAAACAGGGGTGTGGTTCACATCCACAGGGGTCTTCTCTATGGCTGCCAAGCTGACCCTGTGAATAGGGGAGAGGTCAAGGAAGCTGAGAAGGTGAATGAGGGGTACTGGTGATGGGGCAAAAGGTATGCTGTGCATCCTGCCCTGAGTCATTCTATGAAGTTTTGTCTACATAGCTTTTGATTAAGGACTCTAGCATCTTGAGTTCGACTGTCATACCAAGGTGATGAAGTCACTAATTTGAACTGAATTTGTAATCATAACCTTGGAGAGATGGTTTATGATTGAAAAACCCCCTGAATCAAAATATATTTCAGTCGCCTCAGTTGATGGGGCACCATCTGGCCTATTTTCCCTGAGCTACAGTCCTGGGAGGCGCCATCCTGGCAACTGAGTGGAGCCCTCTCCTAGAAAAGAAAGGGTGAATGCTGACAGGGGTCCAGAACAAGATGGGCCAGAAGGTGGGAGCTGTGGAGAATTTTGCATTGGATCATGGAGAATGTTGACCTCTTCAAGGCCAAAACCCCAATCACCTACTGGTCCTGGTCTTGAAACAAATACCAAGTTATAGGGCTAAAGGGACACCAACACAGAGAATGTATCGCTGTGACAACCTGGCCCCCAACTCCTAACATGCCACCCCCTGGCACTGGCAGCCTTCACTATCTCCCCTAAAAGTGATGTACTATCATAGCTGACATTTCCATGGGCTGATCCACACTGACTGGGAATGTGACATTCAAATAGACAGTTATTCCATTCAGGTTTATCACATAACTTTTCTCCTCAAACATCAGCTTAAACTCACTTCTTTATGGTATACGTTCTATGGTCAACAAGATTGAGAATGTCTTATGTATGTATGACTGCCCATGTGGAAAATTTTTACTAAATAAGATCTCAGGGATTTTAGGCTTTTTTATTTCAGTTTCTTATAAGTACTTTAGGCAATCTTCTTCAGGAGTTGATGCCCAATGATTCGTTAAAATGTTTGGGTATACTGAAATACTAACGGATATGAAAATGTAATGGAAAGAATTATTAATAAAAGAATCAATTTACACTACCAATGATAAAAGCAGAAAGAGGAAAAGAGCAATCCATATATGTAAAAAATATGTATTTTTTGAGGGAGGTGATTCATTATAAATCAAAGTCATTAAAAAAAACTTTTTACTTCTCTCGTAATTCAATAATATAGCAAAATATAAAAATGCTTCAACTTTACTGCCTCATAAACATAAATGGTGTTTCAAATCCTTAAATTCCAACCCATCTTTATACATTCTACATTTAAAGTTCTGTGCTGGAAATTTACAGCCATATGAAGTTATTGAGGCACTTGATATCTATGAAGTAAACAACTTTAAGCTCTCACTAAGCAGTACCCACAAAACCTTCATGTTTCTTCCATCACCATGCAATTTATATCATCAATTACCATGATACTGCGACATATGATTATGGCAACCCAAAAGTAACGTGGCTCACTTGGAAATGATTTTCTAACAGGAGAATTAGCTCCCACTGATTATGCTAACCAAAATGACATTTAAGTACACACATTAGGAGAGAGAGCACACGCACAGTGATGGGCTTTGCAGCAAAATGACCAGAATCCACGTGGAAAGCACAGTGTATACCCTGGTGGGCTGCCCATGAGGGCAACACACGGCAAAGAGATTTGAGGCCAGAGCAGCAGGAGGGTCAGGGCAGCACACAGAGGGCAGCCAGCAGGTGGAGCATGGGCACTGAGTGCGGGTCAGTCCTACCACTTAGTCAAGGACAGCAAGCAGGAGACACTTTAGCACCTTTTTGTGGCCAGGCTTTGGGAAGGAGTATGATTTGATTCTTGAGATTATTCCACCCGCTGACCAAGTCTAGAAACCGTAATGGCAAAGAGGAACAGTAAATGTTTCAGAAAACAAATACAGGCTATGGTATATGACATGCTATTTTAATTTGCTTTATAACTATACTGCCGGCCCCTCCAGGTTCTGCTGATGTGATTCACAACAGGCAACATTTGATCATTAGGAATGGCTCAAAGTAAAGCTAAGCATCTGAGCAGAAAGATCTGGAAAATTATTTGGGTAATATTTTCCATGAAAAGCTATAAAATTAGAGCTGTTACATTAAATAGCCTATATTTCATAGAAAATTATTAAGTTGCAAACTCAAGGAAAATCATCCTAAAGAAACTAAAAGTAAATTTGACTGCCCAATTTTATTACTTCTTTAGAGTGCTGGTTCTATGGTGTTTGTGTAAATTCATTGAGTTGGACACTTAGGAGATGCACATTTTTTTCTGTATGTGTCTCATCAGTCAATAAAAAGTTTTTTCCAAAATATCTAACTTCTTGAAGCCATTGAGTGATATATGGCTTAATATAAGGCTTGATATTCTTTTAGTTCTCAGTGCTCATCCGTCTTAGAGGAAAATAGATCTATCTTGTGAAACATACATGTTAAAGTAGTTACTAGGCCCATGAGTTACATAAAGGCTAAAATAAAATGACTCCTAAAAGGGCTATATTTCAGATATTGATCCCAAAATTCACTAATATTGTAGCAAATTCCAGGTCTCCCACTCTGGTGACGAGTGCTGTCTCCAGAGAGCCTCCCGGTTTCAATGTAGGCACAGCTTCTGTGCAGTCGCAAGTCCCCACTGGGGGCAGAAAGGGCATTCTGCTCTCTGTAGATTTTTGTTTTTTAAGGGTTAATAGGCAAAAAGTGAAGTGTAGAGTGCACAGCACACGATGGGAGAATTTTCACACTTCACATTAAAGGAAATTAAGGGTCCACAATGAGGTCCCCCCCAAAAAAGCAGAAAATAATTCATGCTTTGAGTATAAATCTGTGCGTCAGCTCATAACACTGTGGAGAGAGGAAAGAGGGGGAATTCTCTCTTTAGGAGCATCAGGCACATTTTGGGCAAACCGACGTGGAGAAGTGTGGATAGGCACGTTCTTGCCTCCTATTGGTGTGGAGGGGGCAGCGGGTTCTGGCCAAATGCCCAACTCTGTCTTTCTCTGGGGATCCTCTCCTCTGTGGCCAATAAGCGCTCCTTCCCCAAGTCTTCCTCCGCTAAGCTACTGTCAAACCAGCTCTCCTGGAAAGGGCAAGTCTTCTAGTAACAATGTCTTGGTTGATTTAACCAAAAGAATCGACGTCATTGAGACATTTCATACACCAGACTCGTCAAACAGACCATGCACACAGTCATGTGCATTGTGTCCACGAGGCCACACGGACAATTCAAGATGGAGCCTAAACAATTTGTTGCCATTTTCCAAATTTGTCAGGAGGCATATTTCTGTTTTACCATTGAGTTTCATGATCATTTTGTATACTTTTGGCAAATGGAGGAAATTTACCTACCAAAGGTTTTAACCTGGCTAGCTTGGAACTGAAAACAGGCTGATTCTAGCTCACACCAGCAATCCCAGTTTATCAAGTATGATAAAAACAACAATTACCACTACTCTGTTAGCCAAAATATGCTTTCATTACACTAATATACAACTGCCTCATCTTTAGTGGCTTTTCTAGTAACACTTACCCCCGGATGGGCACTTGGAAGTTGTGGACGAGGTCTGAAATGAATATTTCCTGATGAGAAAGAGCATGGATGATTACTGCTATATCATTGAAAACCAACCATTTACCTCCTCCCCACTGCAGATCAATCAGTGTGATTGTAAAATACTGATACTTGAAAAAGTAGATACATTTTCTGCATATATTTTTTTATTCTTTCATTCAACTTTATCGCCCATACAATTAGAACGAATTAGTTTTTAAAAGTTAAAGTTATCAGTTATTTTTTGATTAATGATATATATGAAACTGGAGTAATCCGATATTTTTAATGAATCAGTAAAAACAAAGCCTTATCTCACCTGAATTTGCAACAGGCCAAATCTAAAATGAGGCTCATTGTTATCAGATTATTATTATTAGCTAAAAGACTAAGACTCCAAAACCTTAGTGACTCACCAGTCTGCTCGCCAATTTTTTGACATGGAACTGTAAGGACTCTTAACAAGCCATCTGCTTTATAAGAATAATGCTCGACTAGCTGAAAGAAAAGAAAAGAAGAAAGTACAATAAACAACTGAGGCAGGAAATATAATCCTACCTAGAGCCTCTGGCTCCTATTCAAACTTTAAAAGTGATTGAAGGACAACCCTTAACTTCCTGGAGTCATCTGCCTGATCCCCCTCATGCCTTGCTTCTCTTACCCACAGATTCAGGACAGAAGTGCACATGCTGACTTCTCTTTGGGATCTTACTCCACTCTCCGCTCACCCCCGCCCCCTCTGTGTGTGTGTGTGTCTCTCTCTTTCTTTCTAGGAGCAAGCTGCATTTACAGTATTTGCTTATATTCTCTTACTTCTATATGATAGTATAAAAATGAACTCAGCATACTAATATTCACTCAGTCATTCAACAAACATTCTGCTTTACTAGGCCCTGAGAGAGGACAAAGGTAAACTAAAGTGAATGACACAAATTTCCTTAAAGCTTACTTTCTTGGTGGAAAGACAGAAAATAATGAGCAATGTTGTTATCGGTGTTATGGGCACTGACTTTGGAGAGACCAAGTCATTGAGCCCAAAAGCTTCAGAGAGAAGATACCACAGTACAGGTGATGTGGGAGCTGGGACATGGGGAAAGTGACTTTTTGGAGAATGGCCTTATGTTGAAAAGACATGGACATCCTAGACTAATAGATCTCAGAAAACTGTGAATCATGATGTCCAATTTCTACATTAAAAAATAAATTAATGGCAAGTAGATTTATTTATATCTAATCAAAATTATGAAACAAGAAGACAGTCTTGGTATTTCACATTTTCTTTTCTCATACATGTGTTTACTCTAGATAACCTAAAATCTTCCTATCTGATTTCTCTTCGTTGTCTGTTTGTTAGTATTTTTCTAGTACCCAAACTTACCAACTTGAGTGAATGCTTGTTAAATGAATATATTTTACCCTTCAGGTAACAATCTTTTTAAAAAATAATATTAATTATTGTGGTGAGAACACAACATCAGATCTACCCTCTTAACAAATGTTTCAATCTGACCAGCCCTAACATGCTACTGAAACAGACACCAAAGCTCTCCCTATTCTGTTAAGTGCAATAGAATGTTCTCAGACTAAGAGTATGGAGGTCCCCATAACAGATGAGACATGCTATCCACCTTTCCAGTGTCATTCAAATATCTCCTTTAATGCTTGTGTTTTCAGACAATCTCTTCCACAAGGGTGGCTGGGCAATGGGCATATTTGTAGGGATTTCCTTCTTGGGCACAGGTCTGCAAACTTTTTCTGTAAAGGGCTAGGTAGCGACATTTTAGGCTTTTTCAGGCCACATGCCATCTCTGTCACATAGTTCTTTATTTATTTCAAACAATCCTTTAAAGTGTCAAAATCACTTTCTTCAAGGACTACACAAAACAGGCTGGGGCCCTAATCAGGTGCATGGGTTTGCTAATTCCATTTCCAAAGTGAATACTAGAGTAGAGCAACTCTCAGAAAAATAGCACCAAACTCCTGGGTGGGGGTAGGGCACATTTTTGATGCTGTTTCTTAAACATAGGGGCTAGAAAATATATAATAGGAAGAATTTAATTAGGCTGAATACTATGATATGCTGGAGAAATCAATAAATGGGACAAAGTCTTGGGAAGAAAGTTCCCAACAATTAGAGATGTTTGGCACTACAGTGAGTGCATAGACTCTGAAAGTGAGTGGGCTCAGAGGAGGAAACAGTCACTCAGGAGAAGCCGGATGGCTGTGCACTGGTGATGGAGCCCAGAGACTTCAAGCTTTTAAATGCACCATAAATGCTTCATATAGGAGCCAAGAGACTTTGATGGGAAATTAAGACTGAAAGGCAGCATTCTCTACTCCTCTCTGATTTGCAGTGGGCTACCTGATGGGCTAATTGCTCTTTCAAATCGATACCATTAAAAAAAACAAAAAAACAAAGTGTATGGTTGATAATAAGCCATGTGCTAATGAGCTGCAAATCAATAGAGGAGGTTAGTGTTATAATTAATATGAATAATATTATAATAACTAGCATTCAGAAAAGAAACATTTCTTTTTCCAATTACAGCATTAGGAACCAAAATATGTTAGGTGGTGTTACTCTAAGTATGTTAAAGGTAATGAAGATCCCTGCTCTCAGTTTTTTTTTTTTTTTTTTTTTGGTGACATTGGGTAATGAAACTCAGTAAGTTTCAGGTGTACAATTTAGCAGTAAGGCATACATATTGCATTGTGGGTTCACTGCCCATAGTTAGATTTTTAAAAAAACAGGATTTCAAGTTGGGACTTCTCCTTACTGTTACCACATGTGAGATTCCTGGCCAGGCCTGGCTGTGGATGTTTGCACACGTCCCTCACCCACAAAAGCGCAATGTAGCTGTTGCTGTTTGGGAGGCAGAGTCTTTTGGTTCTCTCCATCTCTGCCCCACTACAGTGTGTAAGACACTACACCAAAACGATGTGTGCAGTATTGTCATTTTTTCACATAGCTGTGATTTAAAATAAAGGCAAACTAGTTATACCCATGATAGCCTTATGGAAAACAGTGGTGAGCACTGGTGTAGCGCTCCTTGTGCCTAAGTAGCCCCCAAATTGTGAGCTGTTTCAACTTTACTTACCAACAGTTGGGTTAAGAACAAATACTTTAGATTGGGGTGGGATAGTCCTGTGTAGGTGGTGGCTGGAAGTGTGGGAAGTGCTGCCTTACTTTCTGACTGGTTTTAATTTCAATGGAGACTCATTTTGCAGCAAGAATGGCACCTGACATTTTATATTCAACTTCGCTTCTCACAATTCAAAGAACACTCTGATCGGCCACCTCCATGCCTCCTTCTCGGCCATCTAGGCCTTTATTTTGTATGTAGTTGTCTGAAAGGCTGCTCTAGGTTCCAGTTAGAATGTCTTAGAGAGAAACATTTTCTAGTCCCCAGTGCAGGTCCCTGTTGAACTCTGAACACAGCTCTGAGTAGTCACCACTCTGAGGTGCCAAGTGCTGACTGCCCCTGGAGAAGCCACAGAACCTTCTGGAGCCTCATTAACCTAACGTGATGACTCTAGACTAGCATTTCTTAAACTCTGATGTTGGCAGGCGGCAACTGAAGGTTGAAGAGCAGGTTCTAGTTGGGCAGGTATGGGAGGGACCCAGGCAGGCATCTCTAACAGGCTCTAGGGACCCTGTTCCCCTCATTTCCTAGGATGCTGTATACCTGCCAGAGTGTGTCGAACTTCTTTCCATCGGGAAAGGAGAGCTTCCCTGTCTTGTCCTTGTCAATGCGGTAGTGTAGCACTTTGCCCTCATGTAGCAGACACAAGGCATAGGATCCGTTGTTGTCCCTGGCTCTGATCCTGGAAGAGATGAAGATTCCCGTCACTCCCATTCCTATCCTCTGGTGAAAAGAAGTGCCCTGAGAAGGCGGCCGGCAGCAATGTCCTTTACCTGCCGTGGCCAGGGAAGCCCTGCTTACAGCTCAGTGATATCAAGAGCTCACAACGAGGAAATTCTATGGCGTAGGGCTGGACCACAGCCAAGGTCCAGAGGGTGGGGCCCCAGGTGGACATCAGGAGAGGCCATGGTTCACCTGGAGCAGTGGCACTGCTCAGGGAACAGCATGTGAGACCCACAGGACCCCAGAGCTGGGCAGGGTGTGGAGTGGTAGTCTGTGCAGCCCTTTGACTCACCTCTTCTCTTCGCTGAGGCCAGAGTCCCAGAGGGTGTTGCTCCCCCACCTAGCCAAGGGGCGAAGGATGGGGGTGTCTGATGGGAATGTTAACAAAGGAAGCTCCAGACCACGGATGGAGGGGCGTGAGGCCTCCCACTCCCAGGGCCCTCTTCACTCCCTCACACTTTCCCTTCTGCAGGGAGTGGGGGGCAGGGCTAGGATTTAAAATGTTGTTCCACATGACACAGTCAGATGAAGTCACTGGAAGAAGAAAATATCGTCCACTGTGGGGAAGGGAAGGGCAGGTGAAATCAAGGCTGCGCTGGGCTGATCACCCCGGATCACTGCGTGCCCCCCACCATTCCCTTATCCAAGGGAACGAGACCTGTGAGTCTGACAACAAGCATAAAACATGCCACCACAATGCACAAGCGGTGGCCTATGTGTATGGGGGCGGGGAGGAGGCCTCTTGGGAAGGCCAGGTAGGGGCTGCAAAGGCACAAACCCCTCCCCGCAATTTAGCTGCTTAGTCACACCCACCCTCAGCCCATTTTCTTCTTTCAGCGACTTGAGCCTTTCAGATCATGAGATCTGAGAGAAGGTGAGTCCCGAGGTCCCAGAAAGCTGTCCAGACCTGGCATTTTCTAAAATAAAGGAACCGAGGCACCAAATGTTAAGAATGTGCCCAAACACACTGTATTTTGGGAAGAGTTCAAATGTGCCCAGATGCTAGGACTTCTCTGTTTTGAAGAGATTTCTGATGCCTCCTCCCAGTTGCAAGAGGTCATACACATGAGATGGGTTTGGAAACAGATGTGGGCATACTTTCCTGTCTTCGATCTTGTAGATTCATCTCAAAAAGCTAACCCAAAACTTGAGAGCTGAGCTGTGTTGTATGGGGTATGAACTTTGTTTTAAAATAAATTTCTTTTCAAGATATGCTCAGCTGTGTACGTTGGATCGGTTCCTGCCACACCCTACTGCTCAGGGCAGCTGGTGCGGATGGAAGGACACATGTAGACCCTCTTTGGCCTCGGTGGGGGCTGATTCTGAAACCTCCACACTGTGACGATAGCTCCTTCCTCCCAGCCCAACCAGGCTACCAGCGCCCTGAAGTATATGCTCCACTTCACAGTTACATGGCCCATGAAAACCAGTTGGTTGCTGTCAAATTACAAACCAACCACAAAGAAATGGTAAGACATATTTTTATATATTGGAGAACAGAATCTATTTTATAATGTGAGATGTGGGGCTATTTATAGTTTGTTTATTATATAAGCATTAGTGGCAAACAAATAGGATAGTTTGGAAGTATAAGGAACTATACAAATTCTTAATTCCAAGCACTAAGAATGTATGCTTATACATATGAAAGGTGATCATGGGAGCATGATGTCCACAGGCCATTCCAAAATATCATTCTCCTTGATTCAGAGTCCTTAACATCTTTGACCTCAAAGCCCTAGAAACAGTAAATGAGATATGAACTCTGGTTTTCTGATTTTTATGACCAATCTCCACCACTCCATCTTGCCTTATGCCTTGATTGATTTTTTTTCTTGTTAAAACTGAGACAGAGGGTCACAGATTGTCCAGGTGCAGTTACCTCATTAGAAATCTGGAAAATGCAAATTAAGACCACAATGGAAATAACATGACATACTCTTCTAAATGGCAAACTTTAAAAAGGCTCCTGATACTAAGTATTGCTGAGAATGGGAGCCACAGGCTCCCAGGAAAACTGCCAGTGGGAGTGCGAATCTGACCGTTCTAGAAAAATAATTTGGAATTTCCTACTGAAATTAAACCTATTCATCCTTTGTGAATCAGCAATCTACTCTCAGGTATACAAAATTTGTCCAGTCTGCACCCAGAAATTATGCTGGGATGTTCATAGCAGCTTTATCTGTGATCACAAAAATCTATAAAGAAACCGAATGTTCATTGACCGCAGAGTGAGTAAATTGTGGGATATTCATACGATGTAATACCATAGTACAAAAAATGAACCAACAGCAGTGATATGAAGCACGGATGACTTTCACGAGCATAAAATCTATGCCATGATTCCATATGCACAAAGTTCCCCAAAAGGCAAAACAAATGGTTTTGTTCAGAGGCGCACACTACTTTAGGTGTTAAAACCAAAAATCAATAAATAAGTAAAAAAGAGGAAGAAGAAGAAAAAAAGTGAAGGCATGCTGGACACAAGAGTCCAGGAAGTGGTATCCTCTAGTGGGGTGGGGTGTGAGAAACGGACCTTCTGCGATGCTGGTGTATTGTTTCTTAACTCCGGTGGTGTTTGCTTTGTAATTATTCACTAAAGTGAACACATAGAGTGATGCACCTTTTTGTATGTTTAATAGTTCATAACAAACATAGTATACAGAGAGAACTAGTGCAAGGTGGAGAGTCTCTTGCTTTTGAACAAGCAATTTCTGCAAAGGCATCTTTCTTTGAGGCTCCCCAGAGAACAGGTCTTCGAGGAGAGTCTTTGTCCCAGAGCTCATGTCAGACAGCCTATGCCAGTTCCCAGAACAACAGTGGTGACAGCTACCATGGGAGCACAGTCTAAGGACAGCAAACACAAGGACAGGCTGTGGACATGCAGCCTGAGCAGCCCCCCAGACAGCTGGCAGGAAACGAGGGCAGAGAAGGGAAACCCACAGGCCCAACAGCTGTAGGTGGCAAAGCCCAGAAGCTTGGTGGCATTAACGGCCAGTAACTGTGAGGTGTCTTCTGGCTGTAGGCAGATCCTGGCGTAGGCTATTTTAAACCTAAAATATGGGAAATACTGGTTTGGAAGTTGAAGCAGCTCCTCTTGGCCCCCCTGTTCCTCAGGAAAGTACCCCTCTGCCCCACACACCCACCAGGTGTGTCACACAGGCACCCAAAGAGTGGAAGAACAAAAGTTAGTCTTCTGACTCCTTTTAGGGCTGCTGCCTTCCAACTTCAGGATCAGTGGTCTCAGGCATGTTCACAGAAGCCCTAGAATACTTTTCCCCTATGTCTCTTGGAAGAGTAAAGCAGATTTGTGTTTTGCTATTACAGAGAGTGGGATTTCAGTGCTTTGAACTGGAGCAAAGCTGCAAAGCTTTCTTAACTGGCCTTAAGACTGTCTTATTGTCATGTGGCATGGTGACTCTCCTTGGTGAGAGGGCAGAAGAGCCACCCTTCTCTAAGGCAGACAGCCTTAGGCTCTGTGATGAGCAGGCCTTGCACCTCGCAGATGTGAAAACACTTGGCAAAGGTGAGGTGAGGAGAGTGTTGGTTCTGCAAGGAGGGGCTGAACTTCTATGCCCTCCTGGATGGGAGAGAATATGTGGTGGTGATGCCCAGACACTAGTGGAGAAGTGAGGACTCAGGAGGTGGTGGGACGCCCCAAGGTGGCTAGACCTATCAAGATATCTGTACATTGCATTGTGTCTGCTGCAGACAGAACAGCTGGGGCACTTCCTAGCCCACCACGAATTCTCATTCTCCTATGCATTTTTTTTTCCCATGGCAGAGCAGAGCATGGCTGGCTGGAGAGGAAGGAGGGCACCTGGGATGTGTCATGTGCATAAGATAGACAGTCACTGTGGCTGTGGTGGCCACATGGATAGATGAGAGGAGAATCCATGGCTGGCATTCACACTTCTGTTCAGGCCTGATGCTGTATCGGGTAGACAGATATTGCCACATGGGGCCCAATAGTAGCTTCCTAAGAGACAGAGAGTTGGGGGGTAGGGAAGAAGAGTTTGTGGGAATGACATGCTGGACAGTATGCATGCTGATATAAGGACAAGAGCCCCCTAATTCAGGAGAGGTACCAGTCCTAATATCCAACAAAGATAAAAGAAAATGAAACTGCTGGGTACTTTTTGCCTCGCACCATAGCAAAATAAAGGCGCATGTGCATTCCATACGAACAATGAAAGTAGGATCAGTGCAGAACACAGGTCCAAATCTGGGGCCATGCCAAGATTCTTTCGTTCATCTGCCTTTTTAAAGATTATAGTACAAATTTTCCCAAAACATAAAGAAGCATGAGTTACAATAGAGGGAGTAGGGAAGGAAAGAGACCAGGAAAGATAGGGATTTATATCTCCAAGAACTTTCAGTACTGGAATCATCAGGTGTGAAATATAGATTATCTATGTATGAAATGTTCAAAGAAACAAGATGGAAATCACAAAAACTGGCAAGCAATAGATACTCCCCAAAATGCTCAGGAATATTTAAAAAAACTACAATGACAACAAATAAAATTGCTAGAAATAAAAAAAAAAATGTATTGGTGGGGGAAATAATCAGTGAATAAGCTTACTAGATTAGACACAGATGAAACAAAAGTTAGTGAACTGGAAGACAGATCTAAAGATATTACCATAGCACACAGAGAAAAAACAATAGAAAATAAGAAGGAATGTAGGAGATGGATTGAGAAGGTCTAACATATGTTTAACAGGAGCTTCTGAAAGAATAAATGGTAAAAAAGAAAGATAGTAATATTTGAAGAAAAAAAATGGCTATTTTCTAGACTGATAAAGAAAATAATTCATGGTTGTATAAATCTTAAGCCAATGGCGATCAGGTATCTGTGCTTCCTACAACCATGAATTATTTTCTTTATCAGTTCTAGAAAATACTGAGTCATTTTTTCTTCAAATATTACTATCTTTCTTTTTTACCATTTATTCTTTCAGAAGCTCCTGTTAAACATATGTTAGACCTTCTCAATTCATCCCCTACACATTACCGTGTTTATCACCCAAACAACTCAGAAAAAACATTAGTTTCCCTATTTTTCCATTGAGTAAACTGAGGTCAGAGAGATGAATTAATGGTTTAAATCACAGAGCTAGCAAGTGGCTGGGCTTGTCTGACTTCATGGCCTGAGTTTTTTTATTATCCCACTTAAGTTTCTATAAGTAGAAGTAGTTTTAAGGTTAACTCTATCTCAATCAGTCAAATAATACAGTATTTGGGGTGTGCTGAAAGAACATTCCCTA